ACACACACACACACACACACACACACACACACACACACATATATATATATATATATATATATATATATATATATATATATATATATATATATATATATGCATGTGTGTGTGTGTGTGTGGACTTATTAAAGCGCTCAATAAAATATAAATAAATATATATATGTATAATTATTTATATATTATATGCGCAGGATCTTATTAGAAAGCGATTAATATTTAGATAGAGTTTATGTAGATTGCGTGTATTGGTGTTATACACGCAATCTACATAAACCCAAATTTTTTAAAACATTAATCAGTTTGTCTGACGATCGCTAATGCGTGAAACCCAGGTCACAAACTCACATCTATCAACGAAATATATATATATATATATATATATATATATATATATATATATATATATATATATATATATATATATAAAAATATATTCATATATACATACATCCTTGCAAATATATTCATATATACATACATCCTATATATATATACATATATATATATATATATATATATATATATATATATATATATATTGACATTTTTATTGTCTTAATATTGTCGGACTTTTTCCATTTCATTATATATATATATATATATATATATATATATATATATATATAAAAATCTATACATAAAAAATATATACACATGTGCACAAACAAACAAACATAATAAACATATATGTACATAGATAGGAGTATTAACAGATAATATAAGTAATAACATACTAAACTTACAGTAAAATTGTATTATCGTCAAACATATTACTACCCGTATAGTAAGTTAAATTTTGAGCTATGTTTACAGTTAACCTTGAGTTCACTCCTTTGATTTAAGAAATGGATCTTGTTTTTAAATCTAATGATTTCAAATTTCTTATTATGACATAAACAAGCGGTATATAGAGAATTACAGGCTCCAGCTTTCTTAATTTATTTCCAATTAACAGTAGGTGTCTTGTTTTTCTCCCTTAAACTCTCAAAATACCTGGACAATGAAGTCTTGTATTTATGATTACTATTGTTGAAACATTGCACATATCCACGCCAACAGGTTCTCCTCCATACATTGATTGGCTGACGACCATATCACGTTGAAACCCCGGTTATCTTCCAATCACTAAACTCAAGCAAACTACTCAGGACCTAGATGAATGGCCGCTCGGTAATACCAGGTGCTGTAATTTTGGATGTGCGGGTGGTGCAATTGATAACGGCTCGGAATGAGTTCGAATTCCAGTGGGGTTTGTTACATTCACTTACGTGCAAACACCTTTGGGAAAGGCATGAATCCACCTCTTCTTTAAATTATAAGACTTCTCTAAGAATATTTTTATTATCTAAAAAATTCGTATAATCCCCACAAAATATTTTTCGGCTTTAAATAACTTTAAAAAGGTTGATAAGCCGTAAAAAAAATCGATAAATCAAGCATACAGAGATCCCAATTTCTTCCTTTGATTTATTTTATCTTTATATTATATCACATTCTACTATTGGCGTTTTCCCCTTTCGTTACTAGTTGTCATATATGTTTTGAAAACATGGTGTTTTTTTCTAGGTTCTTCATATTTGGTGTCAAAAAGAAACAAACGCCCATTTTTCAAAATCGCAGTGCATGAAAAAGACTGTTAATGGGTAAATAGTAAAAAATGTTATTCGTATGAGTATTGAAAAATATATTTAGAACACTTTTATATACAGAAAAAAAGTAATATGTATATGTATAATTTTCTTGCCCTGTATGTATCAATGGGTAGACATAAGCTGCAATATACTAACTTTACAAGAATTCGGTATTCTATAGCAAGTAATGAACACAAGGAATACCGAATGTTATGGCATGCACTCTACCACGTTTGTATTCTTATAGTTTAGCGCTAAACGACATGCTGAGGCAGGCGAATGCTTTTTTGGGTTGAAGAATGTATCGTCGTCGAAGGTGAGTTTGAATCATTGTGGGCTGGTAACAATTTCAAAGTATTTTCGTTCTTTCTTTCTTTCTTTTTTTCTTTCTTTCTTTCTTTCTTTACACACAGACACGCACACACACACACACACACATATATATATATATGATTGATTTTGTGGTGACATTGCTTTGGTATTTCCAATTAGAAACGCCGCTTACGGTCGTGGCGGAAGCCAACATAAGTAACTGATTATCTAAGTATATTCAACATTCATCAGACGAAGTATACTTACTTCGGGCATCTCTCTTAACGTAGAGACCACGTTTTTTGTTTTATTTCATAAACTTTTACTTTTACTTTCACTTTCACTTTCTGTTTTGTTTTCTTTCTGCGTTATATTCAAAACAAGAACTTATTTTCTTCTAATAACTCTTGCAGCTATTTTCATTCAAAGGAATCATGAAGATAATTACTTTGTTTATCTACAGAGAATGTTTACTTGGCAGTTTCCATTGGAATCCAGTAATATGGAATAGCGGTTTATACTTTTCTGCAGCATATATATTGTGTTTATTTGGAGAGTAATTTATAATCTGTCTGTATTTCTGAGATGAGGTATTATATACACTGTTTACATTATTCGGAATATTGTCCTCATCTTTGTTGCTATATTTATCCCAACGGCTCGGCCGTTGTACGCTCCGGCCTTCTTTCGGTGATTGGAATGTCGAACTGAACCTTTTATTTCGCTCGCTGGGGTAGACTGTTCTAGTTCCACGTGCCATGTCTAATGGATGCCAGTTATCAGTTATTTCCTGTTAATTCACCTCTCCAAGTTCTCCACTGCCTTAACCAGGTATTGAACTCACAACTCTTTGGATCTTGTCACTGGATTTAACCAACGCATTTATCCACTGTGCTATGTGTCTTTAAGGGTTCAGTTCGACATTCCAACCACCTGAAGAAGGCCGGAGCGTACAGCGGCCGAAACGTTGTGATAAATATGGCAACAAAGATGAGAACAATAGTCCGAATAATGTAAATAGAGTAATTTATAACTCATACGACATTTCTTAATGACCAACGAAAGAAGATTGTTAAAGATTTTTTTTACTTTTCCATATTTCGAAACAAATTCCTGGTTTCTGCAAGAATTTGAATATAAAGTGTATGTACTTTCTGCTCCCATAACCGATTATCAAAAACTTTCGTTGATGAAGTAGGGAATATATTGCGGTTTTCTATGTCAGTTTCATGCTTTTCCAAATATCATTTTTTTATTAACTATCGCGTGACCTCCTGACAAGTCGACGATAGGAAGATTACAAGAATTTTCATCTACAAAACTCCAGAGCTGAGACGCTGAATATAATTCCAATCAGCTGAGTGACAAATTTGATTTATATATATATATATATATATATATATATATATATATGGTGGACTCTCGTATCGTATGCGATAAATGAGAGTCAACATTGGATGGTGTCTTTTGTTTTACACTTACGCGCATGCTAGCAGGGGATATTATGGAGAAAATCAGGTAAGGGAAAAACATATTTCATTCGTATTTTCTTAAGTGTGATACTAGCCCAGGCTTGCTGCGAGCGACAGATGAAATTTATTAAAGCAGGATTTTGATGATGTCTCTGCTTCAGAGCTTGACGAAGCTGATCACGGTGCTTCAGTCTACTGTCTTCAAAACCCTTTAACTTAATGAAACATGTTTTACGCCATTCCTTTCGGTTTGATGTTTGGGCTTCTCAGGTTTTCAGATCAAAGTTGAGACGTTTCAAGTTGTTTTTCAATTAGTCTTTGTAGCGTAAGTGTGGACGTTCAACTGAACGCTTGGAGTTTGGTAGTTGTCCATACAGTACCTTTTTGGAAGTCTATGCTCATCCATTCTCACAACATGACCAGCCTGCCTAAGTTGTGTTTTTGTTAGAATGGTTTCACTTCCTGTGAAGTTGTTATATTTCTATAGTAATGCACTATATTCTTGACCCTGTCGTCGCATTTTATATCACATATGGCACGAAGACAGCGCATGTGAAAGTGGCCAAGTTGATTTATGTGCCTGTCCAAGTTTCAGCACCATAGAAATGAGTTGAGAGAACGACTGATCTATATATGTTGATATTTACTCTGAGAACCACGTCTTTGGTGTTCCATAACTTATGTTTAAGTTTACCGAATGCTATGCTGGTTTTGGCTATTCTGGATCGGATTTCTCTGTTCTTTACCTATTATTATTTATATTCAAAGATTCTTTTAATAAAATTTGGTGTGATTTAATTCTTTTACATTTCCTTATTTATTACTTGTAAAGTAATGCAATTCAAATTTGTTCGTAAAGCGTTTTCAATTATAACCTTATTTTGTATCGTTTACTAGTCAATGATATATATATATATATATATATATATATATATATATATATATATATATATATATATATATATATATTCAAACATATATTGTTAAATATAGCAGGCAACGAATATCTATAATGTCTGTTCATGAGCCGTTCTAAGCTTCGTATAGTTGCTTTATTTTGGGGAGAAAATAAAAACTGCCCAACATTTGTATTTTTTATTATGCTGTTCCTCGATCTAAGCTTTCGAAATGGATGATCATGGCTCTCCACAACTTCCTGCCTTTTGTCGATCTGAATAACTGTTACCAAACTAAGCGGTTAAGCGATGTTTTTTCCTAATTGCTTTCTATATGAATTGTGAGGGTTCTTTTGTCCGGAAATTTGAATTTGGGTCTTCAAAGATGGCAGCTCAGATCACTGATCCAAGTAGCAAATTTTAGAAATCAACTGAAATGTCAGTTTAGTATATGAAGACAGGTCTAGAACTAAAGGAAGAGGTATATCCCGCATTCAATTAAGGAATTAACATCGTTGTGCTGATGCCATGACTGCCATCAATTAACTTCGTACTTCGAAATTAGACAGACTGGCCATCGATCGGACCGATCAAGCATCAATCAAATCAGAGAACCAATATGAAGAGAAGGGATAAACCAATAAGTCTAACCCTGCTGATGTATTAATAGTTGCCTTTGTTATAATCAAATGCCCTGTTCAATCCTTGAGGTTACCGATGTCGTAATTGATATTGCTTTGTGGCTGAACCAGCTCACACCACGTTCGCCTACATTCCTTCAGGAGTCATTTGAAGTGACCGTCAAAGGTGTTGGAATTTGACAGATCCCAGCAGTTTGGAGTAGGTATCAAAAAAGATAGAATCAATAAACAAAAACATGCTATTTTAGACTATTAAAAACTAGTTACGCTGGCAATACATCAAACTTTATTTGGGACTTAAAACTAAACACCCCTTCCGCTGTTTAATGAGAAAAATAGATCGAAGGTTTTGGCCAATTCAGTAATTCTCTTCATTTTCTGGATTTTGGCGTAACTCATGCTATATATATATATATATATATATATATATATATATATATATATATATATTTATTTAGATTTTTCCTCTCATTTCATTGTTGGAAGTGTTACCTGATGATCCGAAATCCTTTAAAAGGATTTTGGTGAAATAAATTATTGTAATGGTACCTTAAAGTGTCTGTTTTTTTATTATATATATATATATATATATATATATATATATATATATGTGTGTGTGTGAAAATATATAGAAAATAGGAAGGAACTGGTTAGGTAAATAATCCAAAGTCCCTTAGTATTTTAGTTATTATTTTTTAAAAATAGTGCTCGATACAAAAGTAGAGCATAAATATAATTATTTATTTAAAAATATGATTCCAAATCGCGACATAAGAAGTCCCATGTTTCAAAACAAGAGCCGAAAACTTCAATATAATTATTTAAATTAAATTGAGTTCCAAAAAAAATTTCGCTTGAAGATGGAACAGAGCTTATTTTAACTCAATTTTAGAGAAAAATATGCGCTCTCAGGCAGAATACGAACTTGGAAATGGAAAACCGTCATTAGATCTTATATTCTTCGACATCTCGGCGACAGAGTGCGTCGATAACCAAGCCAAGTTCGAATAGTGCCTTTATACACAGATAAACACTACTGACTGCATGTAATTATTTTTAGGGCACACACACACACACACACACACACGCTCGCGTATACAAGGAGCCAAACATCAATACAATGAAGTCACCAGAACAAGTTTTAGTCATTACATATACTTAACGGTGTCATGTCAAACAAAATTTCAGTTGGCTTCCGTCCACATCACATTGAAACACGCATAAAATCACAGAAGCTAGGCAACGTCGCGTCTGGTTAGCATCTAGATCGGTGACTGTTTGGAAATACCAGGTGCTGTATGCTTGGGTATGCAGCTGATGTAATGAATAATGACTTTGTTAATAATGGATATTGTTAATCGGAGAGTTCCAATTCTTGTTTGCGTCATATTCACTTACGCGCAAATACCATTAAGAAAACTATGAAACTACCACTTCTCCCCCAGCTATGGGTTAATTAGTAACACTAAATTATTATTATCTCAAATAAAATCTTACAGTCTAAAATATTTTCTGGCTTTAAGTACCTAAATGAAAGAAATATTGCTAATGAATAATTAAAGCGACATTATATACATTACTGCTGTAGCTTGGTCTTTATCCACTGTGTCCTTGATAACCACATGTCCTTGATGACATTTGTGCATGAATTTCTGGAACTTATAAACCTAATGTCTCAGCAACAAGTTTTTTATCAGTGCTCATATTGCAATTTATCAGTGCTCATATAGCAATTTTTCTGTCATTATTATTGCATATTTTTTTTTACCAGAGCTTATATTGCAATTTTTAGGATGTTATTCATTGAAGAAGGCCAGAGCGTACAGCGGCCGAAATGTTGTGAATATGGCAATGAAAATAAGGATAACAGTCCGAATAATGTTTGTAATGTAAATAACTATAATACAGTATAACCCGGATGTAAGAGAGTTGTCGGGACCGGGGAAGATGTCTCTTATATCCGGGTTTCTCTTATATCAGGGTTTGGTCTATTGTATATACATTAACACAGGCTCTAATTTGGGACCAGAGAAAATCTCTCTTATATCCGGGTTTCTCTTATATCCGGGTCTCTTATATCCGGGTTACACTGTACCTCATCTCAGAGATATAGACAGACAGCGAAAAGGTAAGCAAGAGAAATAAAATACCCTCTGCAGTGAGAATGGTAAAAAACTTTATCGGCACAAATCTTTGGTAGAACTATTCTCAAAGACAGGGGCAAATAAACTGAACATCGCACAGAAATCAATGGACAAACGGTGAAATGCCCTTGTGGCATAGAATTCTCTTTTATTCACAGACTTTCTTTCTGATTTTAAAACTTCTTTTTTTTTTTCAGTTTCTTTAAATTCTTTCGAGAAGTTAAGATTTTTTGGCTTCTTAATATTTAATTAGGAAATTTAGTGAAGACATGATCATGTGGACATGTAGCCAGCGTTTCCTCCAAACAAGATTCTGAACGAAAAGAAAGAAAAATATTACGGAGACGAAAAACAAATAAAACAGGAATGAAGAAGAAAGATTGATAGGATTCGGAAAGTGAGAGAAAAGAAGGTAATAAAAAGTATTTTGAAAAAGTGTAAATAAAATTGAAAATTAGCGGAGCGTGAGGACAATACGACAGAAGACAACGAAAAATAAATTTTTGGAAAATTCCGGAACTTTTTAATTTTTTTTCTTTGAGTAACGTAAAAATCTTGTTTTAGAGCTGCGCTGCTTGGGAAAAATTAAAAAAAAAAAAAAAACAAAAAAAAAAAAAAAAAAAAAAACAAAATAAAAAAATAGTATTAAAGAAAAAAACTAGTTGTATAATGAAAATACCTAAAAAAATAAACATTAAAACAGGCATTAAAATGATTGTTTAATTTCTCCATAATAATGTCACACAAATATACCTTTTAAAAACGGTTTGCTTGTTTGTTTATCAATCTATCTATCTATTTCATCTATCATTCATTCATATCAATCTATATGATTGTTTAATTATTCATATATCTATTCAGAATAATTATCTATCTATCATTTATATCTATCTATCTATCTTTATTCATTTATCTAGTTTACTCTATCTCAGTCTATTCACACTTGCTATCTTTATCTATCTATCTATCTATCTATCTATCTATCTATCTATCTATCTATCTATCTCTCTATCTATCTATCTATCTATCTGTCTATCTATCTATCTATCTATCTATCTCAGTCTATCTATCATCTATCTATCTTATTTATCTCTCAGTCTATTCATCTCTATCTATCTCTATCTATCTATCTATTTATCTATCTATCTATCTATTTATCTATCTCAGTATTCTTCTATCTATCTATCTATCCTCTATCTCATTCTCTATCTATCTATCTCATCTATTCATCTATCTATCTATCTATCTTCACATCTATTTCTATCTATCTATCTATCTATCTATTTATCTATCTCTTGGTTTCTATCTATCTATATTTACTTATTTATCTATCTCAGTCTATCTATCTATCTATCTCTTGGTTTATATCTATCTATCTATCTATCTATTTACTATTTTATCTATCTATTCACATCTCTATCTATCTCAGTCTATCTATCTATCTCTTGGTTTATATCTATCTATTCACGTCTATCTATCTATCTATCTATCTATCTATCTCATCTTCATCTATCTCTTGGTTTATATTTATCTATCTATCTATCTCTCGATCTATCTATCTATCTTTATTTATCTATCCATTCAGTCTATTCCCATCTATCTATCTATCTATCTATCCATCTATCATCTATCTCAGTCTATTCACACATCTATCTATCTATCTCAGTCTATTCATCTATCTATCTATCTCATCTATCTATCTATCTATTTACTTATTTATCTATCTCATCCTATCTATTCATCTATCTATCTACCTATCTATCCATCTATCTATCTTATTCATATCTATCTATCTCTATCTATCTATTTATCTATCTCAGTCTATATCTATCTATCTATCTACTTTTTATCTATCTCAGTCTATTCACATCTATCTATCTATCTATCTATCTATCTATCTAATTCACATCTATCTCATATTTACTTATTTATCTATCTCAGTCTATTCTATCTATCTATCTATCTATCTATCTATCTATCTATCTATCTATCTATCTCAGTTAATTCTTATCTATCTATATTTACTATTTATCTCAGTCTATTCACATCTATCTATCTATCTATCTATCTATCTATCTATCTATCTATCTATCTATCTATCTATCTATCTATGAGACTGATGAATAAGTTCAGAGCTTGACATAATTATGAACATAATCTTTATCTTAAATTCTTGCTGTATGACCAATATATACAGCAGAATAGGGTTCATTGACATGATGCTGAAAAAGGATATGATTTTGGAAATATATATATATATATATATATATATATATATATATATAGATAGATAGATAGATAGATAGATAGAAAGATAGATAATACCAAATTGTAGAGATCATTCCAAAGAGTACTTTTCTGTCCATATGAGAGCTCAATCTAGGATACTAAACAAATTATGAGAATAATTAAGGAAAAACCTTAAATATCTATCGTCAGTAATATATTTATTTGGAAGGATATAAGCGTACTCATCTCATCAGACCCACTACATTATATGGAATGGAATCAAGATATCACAGACAGATAGATTTACAAAGATGAAAAAAAATAAAAGAGTAAAAAATAGAAAAATAAGAAAAATAAAAGATGAAACAATAACAAAAATAAATTGAAATAAAAAAAAAGTTTTTCATGGGCTTACATTATGAAGGGAGAGAGAAAACAGAAAAAAGAGTTAATATAACATGTAGGAGAACGTGAAGAGATAGAAAGATTAAATTTAAAACAGAGTTACAACCATGTGTCAGATAAAGTTCATAGAGGAAGGGGTTAAAATGGTGTTTATTTAAAAAGCAACATCATTATATAATCATTTACATCATAATATTAATAAGAAAAAATATAATATAAGAAAAAATATTATAAATATACAAATATATAAAAGATAAAAATACCCATAAAACAAGAACATGCACCTACACACACACACACACACATATATATACACATACAGACAACCATACATATATTTACACACACACACACACACACACACACACACACACACACATATATATATATATATATATTAGTATTTACCTATTTTTTTTTTAGTATATTTTCATCTTGTAAACTATGTTGTTTTTTTGCAAATCGCTAACGGGGGAGAAGAATCATTGCGAATAATAGAGTTGGATATACTAGAATTAGTGTAGTATATGATTAACTTTTTTTTGCTCTGTTGTAGATATATCAGTATTTACCAATTTTTTTAGTATATTTTCATCTTGTTGTAAACTATGTGGGTTTTTTTTTTTTTTTGCAAATCGCTATCAGGGGAAGAATTATTCAATTATTGGCAATGATTCTTTTCCCCACCCCGTTCATGATTTACAAAAGATTTAGTTTACAAAAAGATAAATATACACACACACACACACACACACACACACACACACACACACACATATATATATATATATATATATATATATATATATATATATATATAGAGAGAGAGAGAGAGAGAGAGAGCGATTTAATAGGCCAGTTAATAAAATTTGAAGTATAAACAGCCAAAAAAATGATACTAATTATCTCAATAAAATTGATATTTATTGTCTGTGGATGATGATATAAGCTCTCGATAAAATGATTTAATCGGTCGAGCACTGTGGGGAGTTAGGAACGAATTTGTAAACAGTCACTATTACTGCTGATAATGCAAGACTCTTCTAACTTATTGAGTTCTTTGAGTGACTAGTGTGTTTATGAAAAGATAAATGCGCAAAAATTCGCCTTTCTCTCTTTCTGGCGTCGATAGCCTGGGGATTAGAATCTCCGAGTGAAACCAAATCAGTCGGGTTTCGGACCCGGTTTGAAGCGATCGGATATCTAGCCACATTGATGAGTTGTGATACAGCGAAACAGTCCGCATCTGTATGACTATATACATATATATATATATGTGTGCGTGTGTGTGTTTGATATGGATGGGGTATATTTAGGCAGCGAATATTTAACCGAGCAAGAAAGCCAGTGTTTATGAAATAGCACAAGCATGCTAAACTCAACTATCAAAGTTCATATTAATAATGTAAAAAAAAATCTGGCAAATATTTTAGGGTGGGATGAGATTAAACTAGAGGTTTTGTGAGGAAAAATCCGTAGTATATCTGGTGAGCTCTTAATACGGCTTTTGAATAAGAATTTGATACCAACCATTAAACATGGCGGTGACAGCATTATGATTTGGGGGTGCAAAAAGTACACATTGATAGCACAATGGACTCTCCAAGATACCAAGGAGTTTTGAATGAAAGTGTCTAGTTCTCAGATCAAAAGTTGGGTTTAGGTCGGGGCTGAAACTTCCAACAAGACAATGATCTGAAGCATCAAAGCAAATCCACAAAAGAATGGGTTTGTAAAACGAAATTCTAATTCTTGCAATGGCCGAGTCAAATTCCTGATATAAACCCAATTGAAAATCTGTGATTCAAATGAAAGAAGGTAATGTATGCAAGAAACTGGGGAAAATCGAGTAATCATGTGAGTTTTGTCAAGAAGAATGGTCAAAAATTGGCACTCACTACTGCCAGAAACTTTATAAAAATATAGAAAAAGACTGGTTGACATGGTAACCTCAAAAGGGGAAGTAACCGAGTATTAAAT